ATGACCTGTGGTTTACTGAGATTTTCAAATCTCACCCCGCGTTATGGGGCCTCCTTTTTAGGTACTGCTAAGACATGCTGACATGTTGGGTTATTGGAGCATGTTGATATAGTTGCTTATTTGTATCATTCACTTAGTGCATGAACATTGATTTTGCATGGATGTTGTTGCCATATTTAAGGTTGTTAATGCTTTTGTGTCTAAGCCATTTGATTATTGTGTTAATTATGTAATAGTTGTATTTATTTAGTTGTTGCAATCCTAATTGTATCATTGGAGGATTTCGTGTATGTAAATATGGATATGTGATTAAAGGACTTTAGGCCTATTTTAGATATTGATGTTATATAATTATAATGGAAGATGATTGGACAAATGAATAGATTGAAATGGATAAGTGAGATAATATGTATATTGTAAATCAAGTAAGTTGTGGATGATAACTTGAGGCTTAGGAAATGATTCAATTGATTATTATGGATTGTAAGAGCATCAAGAAATGTTGATCATTTATGTGCCACCCTATGGTCAATTAGGTACCCTTTTTAAGTATTGGCACACACACTAGAGTAAATTGGAAAAAGTTAATATACCAAAAGAGATGCTATCAAATTTTCTAGAAAAATAGTGTGATTTTCCCTAACTTTGGGAAGCTATATCTCCCTCCATAGTGGTCCAAGTGAGGCGTGTGATACCTCACTTTAAAGCTTAGGATGTCAATTATATTGTCACAAAACTTGGGGTTGATTGGAATTGTAGAATCTGTCCAGTTTATGAATGAAGGCGGACTGCACAGATCTGCGCTGTGTATCACAACCTATGTCCACGATTTTCCAAAATCCATATCTCTCTCATTTCTTATCCAAATTAGGTTTATAATATATCAAACTAAATCTCAAGGTGCCTACTAGAATATATTAAAATTTGGGAGAAAACAGAGGGGTAGAACACGAAAAGTTTTGAAAGCAGTGAGAGATGTCTGTAAACCCAATAATGCAGTGTTGATAGTTTTAAGGTATTAACTTACGGCGAGTGTATTTGGAGCTATAGAACTCCAATTGAGGAGTGTGATACCTTGTTGGAAGCCTAGAAGAGTCTAGTTTAACATACCAAAAGATGGGATTTTGTGGACATGTGGTTCATCTTCAGTTTTGGAAAAACTGAGTGTACCTCAAGTAGATAAAACGTCAAATTGTGTATTTTTGCTTTGTTGGTTTATGGGAACCACTTAGCAACTATAAATAGACTTTGTATGATGTTAAGCTATAGTTTTTATGATTCCGCAATAGTTTTGAGTTACGATCACATTTTGATAAAATGTTTAATACGGGTATTTTATAAATGTAAGCGTGGTTAAAAAGAAAAAGATTTTCCGTATTTTAAATGAACTGTTGCGATTGTAACTGCACTTAATATCATAAACAATGATAACATGACCGGTCGCAAATGAGGTGTTACAATAACACTCTCTGGTTCTCCCTCCTTATCGCTATTCATATCCTCCTTCTCCTCATCCTCCTCTCCCTCCCATAATGTTATCTGACATAACACTTCTGTAGGTGAAGATAAACGGACAACTCTGTCTTCTTGACCAAAATACTATGGAGTTCTTATGCATAGTGTAAGAACCCGCACCGCTAAACTAGGAATTTAAATAATTTAATTATGAGTTTAGGAAATAATTCCATAATTGACTTTAGATAAATATGGAAAGAGCATAATAATTAATATTAAGTCACTTAACTAAAGGAAAGTGTATACACCAGGTATTTCGCGGTATAAATGGATACCGGCGAAGTAATTCGAATAAAAATATGAATATTCCTATAAATTCATCTAGGTTAAGAATATCAAGTTTGGGGTAAAAATAATAAGCAGTGATTTCAGAATTAATATCGGTTATTTCGCTGTATAAAACGCGTATCGGTAAAGTGTCTCGAAAAATTAAAATTAAAATATGATAATTCCTAGAAAAATGTCTAGGTTAAGAATATAACGTTTGGTAGAAAAATAATTAGTAGAGCTATTAGAACTAATATTGTTAGTTTAAGTGGGTACACTTATAAATAGGGAAGAGTGCACAAAACCCTAGACTTTCTAACACTCATGTTGCCACTCTTCCAAAACTCTTCACGGCTGCCCACTCAAGAACTCCATGGAAGTCAACCCATTTTTCATGAAAATTGACCAAGAACCATGCTTTCTTCATCCTTCTTCCATGGTTCAACCTTGAATCATTGAAAGCTTGTGTTTTGTGAGAAAAAGATACACTCTTTGAAGCATTGAGGTTGCTATTTTTGGAGAGTGAGGGACTGCCATAGTTGTGAGTTTGTGTTTGAGCCATTTACACACACAATGGTGTACCAAGATGTCATCTTTATGAAGAAAGAACCTAGCTTTGGGAGTTGATTTTCATGCACCTTGTTTTGTGTAGTTTGGGGGTGGTCAAAAGTCATGCAAAGATCCATCTTTCTCTTATTTTAGAAGCCCTAAGGTAAACTCGTACCATCTCTTTTGCATTTTTATGAAAATAGCTTGTTTTGAGTCATAAAAAAGAAGAACTTTGATGATTTGTGTTGGGGGTTGTTAATCTAAGTGTAATAAAGTTAATTGAACTTCTATAAATGGGTATATCGAAGTTAGAGAATTTGGGATGCCATTGAAGCATCCCTAAAAAAGAAAAAGAAATGCATTTTTTCTGCATTATGTCACAGAGGAATCGATTCCCTGCAACTGAGAATCGATTCCCGCCTGGAAAAAAATGACAACAATGCACTAGTTTAGTAAAATTGTGATATCTCAAGATATAGAGCTCCAAATTGAGTGAGGTTTAGACCTATGTGAAGCTAACACATAGGGATACAATCCTAAGAAAATTTAGATCCATTAAACAAGTGTATTGATCGCGGTTTGAGTTTTAAGTTACTACCTTGCTGTGGGAAATTTCGTTACCTTGCGAAAAACATAACTGGAGTTATACAACTCCAATTGAGACATAAAGTAATTCGTTGGAAAGCTTAAGATGTCTAGTTTAATATATTAAAATATTAGAATTTTTGGTGAAGAGTTACAATTAAATTTTAAAAGAGTAAACGCAGTTTTGTGCTTGAGGGCTTTGGGAGGAGTTGCAGTCACTAAACAGAAAAGAAAATGTAGTCCATTTGACTTAAAATTTTGGGATATGTATATTAATAATATTTTTGTCATAAATAGACTGTAATTTTGCAGTTTGGTGATCCGTGGATTGCTATTTGGACTTTTGAGTTTGAGTACACTACTAGACAGGTAAGTTCCTGTTCTCAGGGTTAATCCACATTTGTTCCACCATACTCCAAGAGGGGATGGTAGTTTTATATGGTATATGTGCTTATCTATTATTTGAGATGATGAAATGATGCACTCTTATATATGTATGTTATGTGGTGTATTACACACAATATGGTAATACTTAAGTGTAGTATAGAGCTGCACAAGAGTGGTATTTCCTGAGTGTGAGTATAGGGTAGTTGCCCTATGCTTTATGCGTGTAGCAGATGTGCATAAATCATAAGTTCTCTCGCCAATAGACTTGTTAGCACACATGCAGGATATATATATATATATATATATATATATATATATATATATATTGTTACATCATATGATTATATTATTACTGTTAAATTATTATTTTTGAACTGTTATACCGAAGAGAGCTTGGGGCGGAGGAATTCTTTGAGAACCCTTGCTTACTGAGATTTCTGTTTAGAGATCTCACCCTGTGTGGGGTACATTTTCAAGTGCGGATGTCCATGAGATGGATACTTCCCGAGGCAAGAGGCCGGAATAAAGTTTATTTGAGATGCATGTTTTATTCAGATTATTATGGATATGATTATTGTACCGTGACATGATTATTATTACTTTATATTTTTACCAGACTATCTATGTTTTATTTGTTTCGTGACCATGGGGGTTGTCCATATCTTTGATGTATTTGTGTATTTTGTATACGCCCTGAGATATGGACGTTGGTCATGACTACTTGATGTATTGAGGCATTTCAGGAATTCTATTGTGATTTTGCAATTACATAAGGATATAGATGGATTTTATATTGCTATGTTAATAAAGAAAAAAGTGATCTTGCATGTCTGCAAAATTAATTTTTTTTAGCTTTTGCATTCAATTGAGCTATGCTTACTACCGTAATATGATAACAATCCGGATGCATATAGGGTGTTATACATAGGTAAAGATGAAGACTGACCAGATTCAACTTCAACATATATCTCAATAAAATTTTGTAATTTCCGGTCAGCAAATGCATCTATAACACACTCCACATCTTCATCATCACATATATCGTTACTAATGTTGTATATACTATCCTTACAACCTATAGTCTCTACCTTGGCTATTAACCGATGAATGCACTGGTTGTATTATAGCCCCAATTTTTGGTGAAATCCCCCCCTTGAGTTCACTGTATGTATTGCCCCCTTTTGTTTTTCATCATTTTTCATTTTTTTTTTCAAATTGTACACCATTGGGACATTCAAAATGCCTCCGATTGCGGTAGATAAGTGTAACATGGGTGTTTGAACTTGAGCTCATATTTCTAAGTTGAAACCCAGAAGAAAATTCTTGCTCAAAGTGTTTTTCCTCCACGAACAAAAAAGCAGTACAAATATGAAAAATCACTAAAGGGTACTTAAGTTAAAGCGCCAGGTGAAAAACGGTAAAAGTGGAGCATATAGGTAGAAGATGAACGGGCATATTTTGAGTAAGGAGCAATTTAATTATTTTTTAATTAATGAGAGACACAATGATCAAAAAGCCAGAAAAAAGAATTAGGTCTAGCTATCACACTATCACCTACACATAAGATGTTAGTTCACATGAGTGCCTGACTCTTAATATATAAGGAATTTGATAAATTTAATTATCGAAATAAAAATTTATAAATAAAAAAATTAATGATTACTTTATTCAAACATAATTGGATCCGATGAACAGGATTAAGCAAGAGGATAATCAAAGGGTAATGGCCAAACAGACTTATCCATGAGATCATGATGCACGAAACCATATTTTCGCAGAACTTGATTATCAGCGAAGTTAAGAGCTCTCTCCATGCCATTCCAGCAATCATCAGCAGCATACGTTGGATTATGGTTTCCATTGCAAGGTTGGCACCCAGTGAAGTGTGTGATGAAGGGTCTCCTCCATTTCCCTAACTCCTTCACATACTTCTCTCTCATCACACCATAAGACTCACTAACTTTCTCCGCGTGTCTCCTCCGAAGCCCTTCTACCTTTCTCTCCACCTCATTATACCTCTCACTTACGTTTTCGTAAGTATTCACAATCTCCACCCAATACCCTTCAAAGTAGTATTGGTCCTCCAAGAAAATCCTATCCATCCACGTGTCCTTCTCGATCGCTATCAAGTAAGCCAGCGCTGTTTGATCATCCGAGTCAGGGATCACCTTGTCCTTGAACGTTGATCTCAACTTCTCACCCCATTTCTCGAAGTCACGTGTCTGTGGGCCCATGCTGGCCCACACATCCATGAAATCCAACGACCATTGGCAGTTCCTGATTAAGAAAACGCCAGCGTTTAACCCCGTCCAGCTATGATTCTGTTGTACCAGTTCTTTCCAACCATGAACCACGAGGTTGTGGTCCTTGTAACGGTTTAGTGGAAGCTTGAACTCCATGTCGGTGAAGACCGCGTCCGAGTCGACCCACCAGACCCACTCGGCTTCCGGGTGGGCCATCATCGCGGCCCGAATAACAGGGTACTTGGCCCAGTAAGTGTTCATCTTCGGGTGCAAGAGTGCGTTGTTGTAGAATATGTCGATGTTGTGTCGGCGACAGTAATCCACCTTGTTCTTGAAGAATCGCAAGAGGAGGTGGTCGCCGATTGGGTTGTTGCACATTGACGGCTGCGACCCCGTCACAAGGAGAATCTTTTCACGTGCTTCGGCGGCGAAGGAAGGATGATGCAGCAGCCACTCCTTGCGCTTCTCGTCCCAGTTTTTCATTGACTTGTCCATGGTGTAACTCGTTTCTGGGTCGTCGTAGAAGGTTCTATCCAGCGGGTCGTAAAGCAAATCGGGAGCCAAGTTTTCGGCGGCGCCGGAAGGGATTGTGGGAAATTTTAGTTTGGTGGCGACGGAGTTAAGTTTGGGGTTGTTGTTGGGGATGGGGATTATGAAGGAGCATAAACCCCAAATTAGAAGAAGAGTTGTTAATGCTCCACCGAGGAAGAAACAACCTTCTGAGGGCCATAAGGAGGATTTGTTTCTGGAACCGAACTTTGCCATGGAAGAGTTGTGATGAACTACGTACTGTGAGCTCTTGTGATGCAATTTTTAAGCGCGGTGGTTCGAATGGTTTGTTGTTTGATGGCGTATGCTACTTTGTGCTCCTTGTGTGAACTGTTTTTGAGTTATTTCGATAAAATTAAATTAGCAGAGGTTGTCAAGAGAGAGAAAGAAAGATAGTTCCAAATTGGGAAAGGCAGAGACTACGGAATAGTGGTTTTGGGTTGCTAAGAAGTATGAAATGACAACGTGTGAGAGTAGTTTTTTAAGGTTGTGGAGGAGTTAACGCCTCGTTTACGTGTTCCCTTCATTATTCACATGAAACTTTCATGTTGATATATGTGGACACAGGGAATGTCACCCTCTGTTGCATTTTAATGGAAAAAAGTAGGAAGTTATTGTAGTTGATTGAATACAAGTTTTTTATTATGATATAAATTATTAACCTTCTAAAATTGTAATTATAACTCTGTAAATTTTTTAAAGAAGTGCAATGATTATGTTTAAATGCTTAAATGTTCACTTATTATCTTCCTGGTGAGCAATTAAGTTTTGGCGCACAGCTCAGTAACTTCAACGAGGTCAATCGTTATTGAACAGTACAAACTTCAGCTAGTAGAAGAGAACAAACGAAGTAAAAGGACAATGGCCTAAAACGACAAATTGCTTACTTAAAGAAACAACGACTAACTTCTAACTCAAGACGCGCAAAATGCAAAATCACCACCTTAGAGTGCACGAGCGTTAACGCATCTTTCCGGTTTTAAGGTACCTAAGTAAGCGGTGGGGGTTGTCTTGAACATTTTCTTCCCCGTTCGTTGTAGTGAACTTGTAGGGCACTTTTTCTTTATGCATTTCAATTTTTTTCCCTTTTCTTCCCCTCTATATTTTTTTTTGAGCCATTTTCCTTTTTCCTTGTAGAGAAGAAGATGTAGGCGCAATTGGATATGTGGAATTGTTTTAGACTATTACGGTTTCGGATGCAACGTATAATTATCGTTTACAATTACCTCTTGTAGCGCAAATTTGAGATGATCCTATACGAACTAGAGTCTTTTGCGTCCTAGCACGAACTCATGAATCAATCTCCCTTGGGTTGCACCACGAACAAATCTCTCTAAGCTCTGATAAACCTTCCAAGCTATCTCTCGGGGAATAGGGCCGGTGTGTAGGTACTCTCCTATTATCACGGAGATGACCTTATCTCAGCCCTTAATTGCAACAACCAAGTGAAGACCTTAGACGCTGATGACTATAAGTGTAGAATATATATGGGTTCCAAGAAACCTCAGCCTTAAGTTGAATGGGCTCTAGTTTTCTTGGGTCTTCTTACATGCTAGGCTCAATTGAGCTTTAGTGAAAGAGCAAAACTCAACAATCTCTCACTTGCTCTTGGGTACAAACTTGAGTCCAAAATCCAAGACCATATAATTCACTAGTCGTCATCAACTGAAAAATGTTTCATCCCTTATCTCGAGCTAACCTGAGGATCTACCAGCTGTTATTAATTGAAGCTTCTGATAATCAATAAATGATTATCTAATTCGGTGTTACTCAACTAAAATCCCTGTTATGGACCTGTATAAGGCCTATATACTTGAGAGGCCCAACAGATGATGGACTGTTGAGTAACATACAGACAACGGATCAGGCCTAGAGGAACGAGGCCCAAATGGCTCAAACCCTAAGGTAAACACTATAAATAGGAGCTAAAGACTACATGAATGGACTAATCTCTCTCTATTATTACTATTATGCAATCATTGTGCACACACACCACCACCCCATTCGGTCTAAGGCCTAATAATCATGTACAGTGATTTGCTACCTCCAAAATACCTAATTCATAGGTATCTAGAGAGAGCACAAGATCCTATATTGATCCACTAGCCCCTGGCTAGACATCTCTGTCATACAGACAGAACATTGGCGCTGTATGTGGAGATTTTAAAAATTTTAAATCTCACAAAAAGCATGGCACGTACGACCAGGAGTGATTATCGACAGCCATTGGTATTAAATATTGAGCCAAGACAAATCCCTGTAATACACGAAGATCCAGCGGGTCAGCGCGTTTCTGAGAATCAACAGGCGATGGATCATAACGTTGTGCACATTAGTGATGTGCATTCTGATTCAGCATCAACTCCTGCTGTGAATCAGAATGCTCCATACGTGGAGGGACTGCAACCAATTGGTGCACAAGCCATAAATGTAGGGAAGATCCCCGTTGAAGTAAATCATGACCAGCGGGTTACAGATCAAGATGTGGCTGTAGTCCTAAGAAGGATTGAAGAAAAGGAGAGGAGAAATCAACTCCAAAGAGAAGAAGACACATGACAGATCTGGGATCTGGAAGCTAGGTTATGGCAAGCCAGGAACTCGGATCCTAGACAGGCTATGACTCAGGTCATGAACGAATTGAGGATATCAAGTTCCCGTCGGGTTGACATTGAGCATAGAAACGACCTCGGTCAAATGAGAAAAAATGCTGAAGGAAATCAGAGAAAGGTTGATAACCCAACTCTCAGTCGCGATAGAAGAAACAATGGTACAATGGATGGAGCTATCCAAAATGAACAACCCATTTTACATGAAAGGAGAAACAATAGAGGTCATCTGCTGGGCGGAGATAGGGGTAATAACATTGAAGTGCAGAGAGGAACTGAAAATACTAGGTCTTATGATCAAGTAAGACAAGCCAGGAACACAGGTGATGTGTCAGGAATATATAGAAGAAAATATCACAAGGGGCAGTGCAACGATAGCCTTTGGTGGATGGAATTGTTGATGCACCATTCCCAGAAAATCTGAATTTATCTGAATTGCCAAAGTATGATGGAACTCAGGACCCTCAAGTCCATTTGGATGCTTTTGATACAACCACATATATCAATGGTGTTATCAACCTTTCTAGATAGAGGAACCATTGATTACGCGACTTTTTGCAACAACTCTGACTAGAGCAGCTCAAATGTGGTTCTCTTTGTTACCAGCGGGATCTATAAGATCTTTTAAGGAATTTGGTGGGAGGTTTTTGTTAAACTTCGCCACCAGTAAAAAGCAACCAAAATCAGAATTTGCTTAGGGAAAAATAAGACAACAATCCAGCGAATCACTGCAAAAATACCTGGTCCATTTTAAAGAAGGGCATTACAAGTCCCCGGATTTTCAGAGAACGTTCATGTACACCTAGTTGTAGCAGGGTTACATGGATCCTCAAGATTGGAAAAATCTATTTATAAAGACTCGGTTAGAACATTGGTAGAATTCACAGCCCCGTTAAAGAAGTACATTGAACTGGAGCAAATGGAAATAGATAATGCTGACAAGAAAAGAAGCCTAAGTAAAGTTGAGAAAGCCGAAAATAGGAGGAAAAATGAGTTTCGAGGTAAAAAGCCTGAGGAAAGATTCCCGCCAAGAGGAAGATATGAGAAATATCCACCACTCAACCTACTGAGATCCTAGATATGGAGGGAGGTGGCTTCAACCGAAATGAAAAAGGTGGAAAGACCTCAACCTTTGATGAATAAGGGCAATCTAGACCAGACAAGATATTGTGCTTTTCATGACAAACCATGCCATACCACTGATGATTGCTGGGATTTAAGGGATGCAATTGAAAAGTATATTAGAGATGGAATTTTGCGCTAATATCTAATAAAAATCCAAGAATGGAGGAACAACAGGAAAATAAAGGGTCGAACTTGGAGTCCGGCTAAAGAAAAGAAGCTGAGGGAGGAAAGACTGGGGGAAAAGTCGGTTATAGATGATGATGGATTCATAGAACCAAAATTTGAATGCAATGTCATAAGTGGAGCTCTTGGAGGAGGGGGAGATACAGTAAGCGTTCGAAGAAAATATTTAAAGGAGGTGCTTTCAGTCCGAGAGTAACCTAAATTTAAGGAAGACCTTAGCAAGCCAGAACCACCACTCTTGTATTTTACAAGAGAAGAATTAAAAAACGTGATGTCGGGATATGTTGATGGTTTGGTTATCACTGAAACATTGGTTAACTGCCGGGTTAAGAAGATATTTATGGATAACAATAGTTGTTCTGACATAATCCTATAGGATGCATTCAAGAAGAAGAACCTGGATGAAGAAGACTTAAAACCCTGTAAAACCACCTTGATTGCGTTCAACAGTCAAAACACCTCCCCTAAAAGGTACATTGACCTCGGACTCACCCTGTGACTGAAGGAGGCATTAAAATTTGAAAGGTTGAGGTTCATTGTTGCCGACCTCTCTTCACCTTATAATGTTATTTTGGGAAGGCCAACTATCCATAATTGGGATATGTTGGTATCCACTAAGCATCAGAAGTTAAAGATGCTGGGTAAACATAACACGATAGTTACGATTGGAGGAGATAAGAAGGAGTCTCGAGAATGTTATTTCAAGTCGGTAAGGGCCATTGAGAATGGGCCTTCATTTCCAACCCGGATTAGGGAAGGAGATCAAGCTGGCCCGTCTTCAATAGAACTGCAAAGGCAGAAAAATTCTGTTAACATGGTGGAATTAGACATAAGAGACGACACTCAATTGCCTAGACCCGAGCCTGATGGCGAACTTGAGGAAATAACAATAAAAGAGCAGGAGCAGACAACCAAGATTGGAAAAGGCCTAGAAGATAAAGTGAAAGTTGAAATAATCAAATGCCTTATGAATAATAAAGACGTCTTCACATGGAAGTCGTCAAAAATTCCTAGAGTAAGTCCTACATTTTATTGTCATAAGCTATCAGTATACCCGGGGGCTAAGCATGTGGCCCAGAAGAGAAGAAAACTCAGTTCTGAACATTGGCAGGTTCTGGAGGATCATGTGAAGGAGCTTTTAGAAGTCAAGTTCATCAGAGAAATACGATATACTACTTGGTTATCAATGCAGTAATGATGAAGAAGCCAAAGGGAAAATATAGGGTATGTACGGATTATACCAACTTAAATAAGGTATGTCCGAAAGATTTATAACCCATGCCAAACATTGATCAATTAGTGGAC